AGCCTAGCTCACAGCAACCTCAAACTCCTGGACTCAAGCAATCCTCCTGCCTCAGCCTCTCCAAATGTTGGGATTACAGGCGTGAGCCACTGCACAGGGCCACATTGTGGCTTTAATTTGCACTTCCCTGATGAGTAAGGAAGTTGAAACCCCTTTCATATGTTTTTTGGCTATTTGAATAATCTCTTGTGAAATGCCTGTTTAAGTCATATGCTCATTTTTCTATTCAGTTATCTCTTACTGATTTTTCTTCATATATTTATTCTAGATCTACATCCTTTGAACAGATACACATACTGCAAATATCTTCCCAAGTCTGTAGCATGCTTCTTCATAGTCAAAATTAAGTTTTTTCCTTTATGATTGATTAGTGTTTTTCGGTCCCATTTAAGAAATCTTTGTGTACCCAAAGGTCATGAAGACATTGTCTTCTATATTTTCTTCTAGAAGTTTTATTGTTTTACCTTTAACAAACAGCTCTATAGCCCACCTGGAATTATAATTAAAACTGAGAGAAATTTTATTGTGACTTGTGAACAAATCCTTAGGTTTTTATAAAGAAATGATGATTCAGTTTGGCAGCTGATTTACAAAAATAAGGTACGGAGCACTTGGAACGCTCTGTCCAGGGTACTATGTATTTCCAGATTAAGGTAGGTGAGGGCAACATGGAGAGACGGGAATTACTGAGAGGAAGAATGCTAGGCATTAGGTTGGGCACAGTGGCTCACGCCTGTAATCCTAGCACTCTGGGAGGCCGAAGCATGAGGATCGCTTGAGCTCAGGAGTTCAAGACCAGCCTGAGCAAGAGTGAGACCCCATTTCTACTAAAAAATAGAAAAAATTAGCCGAGTGTGGTGGCACGCACCTGTACTTCCAGCTACTCAGGAGGCTGAGGCAGGAGGATTGCTTGAGCCCAGGAGTTTTGAGGTTGCAGCGAGCTAGGCTGACGCCACTGCACTTTACCCAGGGCAATAGAGTGAGACTCCGTCTCAAAAAGGGGGGGAAAAAAAGAATGCCAGGCATTAACATAAGTGGTTATTAACCAAATCATGGAATATTTAGTTTTAATGTGATTTTGGAAGTCCAGATGCTCAAGCTGAGAAATGGGGAATGGGATACCACAAGTAACAGGAGAGACTACTGCACAAAAATGTGTTTGTGATTAACCAGGGTCGTGAGAGAATGTCCCTGATGAAACAATCTGAATTAAAACTAGTCGAACGTTATTCAGAATAGATTTAGTGTAGACACTAATATAGTGTCTGATCTAACCTAGATGGTTGGGCCTCTTGCACGGTCATTTTTCATAAATAGCTGCATGAATAAGTTGTTACCAACCTCTTCCTCCGCAAAAAAATTTTTTTGTGTGTCTTATGTGAAGTAAGGAGTCAAGGTTAAGGTTTTTTTTTTTTCCTTCCTGTACGGATATCTAATTGACACAACACCATTATTAAAAGGACTGGCTGGGTGCAGTGGCATGCGCTAGCACTTTTGGAGGCTGAGGTGGGAAGATCTCTTGAGCCCAGGAGTTCAAGACCAGCCTGAGCAACATAGTGAAACCAGGTTTCTACAAAAATAGAAAAATTAACTGGATGTGGTGGCATTTGCCTGTATTCCTAGCTACTCAGGAGGATGAGGCAGGAGGATCACTTGAGCCAAGTCTGAGGTTGCAGTGAGCTATGATCACGCCATTGCACTTCAGCCTGGGTGACAGAGTGACACCCTGTCTCTTTAAAAAAAAAAAGACCCCCTTTCCCCATCTGCACTGCAGTGTCACTGTGTATGTGTGGGTATATTTTGTTCCTGGACTTTTCTTACATTGTTTTTCTGTGCACCAATATATGCCACACAGCCTTAATAATGCAGCTTAATACTGAGACGGGCTATCCAGGGTTTACTTTTTTTTTTTTTTTGAGACAGAGTCTCAACTCTGTTGCCTGGGCTAGAGTGCTGTGGTGTCAGCCTAGCTCATGGCAACCTCAAACTCCTGGGCTCAAGCGATCCTCCTGCTTCAGCCTCCCGAGTAGCTGGGACTACAGGCGTGTGCCACCATGCCCGGCTAATTTTTTATATATATATTTTAGTTGTCCAGCTAATTTTCTTTCTATTTTTAGTAGAGACAGGGTCTCGCTCTTGCTCAGGCTGGTCTTGAACTCTTGAGCTCAAATGATCCTCCTGCCTCGGCCTCTCAGTGCTAGGATTGTAGGCGTGAGCCACTGTGCCCGGCCCAGGGTTTATTGTTCTTAGAAATTGAAATTGCTGTTTTGCTTTTTGTATGCCCATGTAAATTTTAGAATCATCTTGCCAATTTCCACTGCCAATTTCCACTACAGAACTTACTGGGATTTTGAATGGCACTTGCAGTGAAACTGCAGATCAATTTGGAGAGAATGAATGTGTATAATGTTGAATCTTCCAGTCAGAACATGGCATGTTACTCTAGGTCTTTCTCTCAATATTTGTAGTCTTCAGTTTTTCTCACAAACCTTTCATCATATTCATTCCTTGGTATATGAAGTTTCTGGATATAAATTACACACACACAAAACTGATTTTTTATATTGCCTTGTATTCTATAACCTTGACTATAGATTGTAAGTTTGGTGTTTTTTTTTTTAAACAGATGGGGTCTGTGTTGCCTGGGCTGGGGTGCAGCTATTTAAGGCACAATCATTGTGCACTGTAGCCTTGAACTCCCGGCCTCATCCTCCCAAAGTAGCTGGCACTATAGGTGTGCACCACTGCCCTTGGCTACATTTGGATTTTTATGTACACAAATGCCATTTCTGAATTACTTTTATTTCTCCTTTTCGAATTCCTAAACTCTTTCTTTTTATCGCCTGACTGGACTGACTAGGGCCCCCAGTACAATGCTGACCCACAGGTGGTGATGGCAATCACATCTCCACCTTATTCTTCAATTAGGAGGCACAGCTTTCTTTCTTTTTTGAGAGAGGGTCTTGCTTTGTCATCCAGGCTAGAATGCAGTGGTGCCAAATATAACCTCAAATTCCTGGGCTCAAATGATCCTCCTACCTTGGCCTCCCAAAGTTCCTGGATTACAAGTGTGAGCCACCACGCCCAGCCTATAGCTGCCAGTATTTTACCTTTAAGCACGATGTTCCCTATAGGTTTTCTGGTAGACAGGCTAAAGAGGTTCCTGGTCTTTCATACCTGCCTTATGTCTAGGGTACTCTCCTGTGTGTAGACAAGGTCCCCTAATGACCTCCTCAAAGGGGTGAGGCTCTTGGGTTTGTGTTCTGTCTCCCACGTCATCAAAATAGGAGCTTGACTGGATTTTCACCTCTGAAGATTCTTTATCAGCTCATGGGTTTAGATCCCCACTCTCCATCATTGTGAGGAGCATGTTCAGCTTTTTAGGATCTGTAATTTGCCATATTGTAAGAATCTTGTACATAACATTTGATTAACGTTTTTTCTTTGCCAATTGGACAAGCTACCTTTTCAAATATTGTGATTTGAAATTATTTCTACTATGCTTGAATTTATTTCTACCATTTTATAATGTGTCAATCCTGATTTTTCTATGTACTGTCCATGTTCTGTTTGATTGTTCTGGAAGTCACTCTACATTCTGGTATCCCTACTACCTAACTCAGCTCACCTCTGTCATCCTCCTCAAACACTACCTTAAAACATTCTAACACTGATCATTCTGATCCTATGTGCTATTTTTGTCTAGTATTTTAGTTGTACCGTTTTAAATTTTTTCCAGCTATCTGGCTGGTGAACATACTCCAACTTTAATCTTATAAAATTTGTTGAGCCTTGTTTTGTGGCCCAGCGTGCAGTCTGCAGTGGTGAATGTGGAGAAGCCCATTGCTGCTGTCGGCCGAGTGTTTTATAAATGCCCAGCAGTCCAGGCGGGTGAGAGGCTTGTTCAGGTCTCCCGGGCATACTTTCTTGCCAGTTCTGTCAACTGCTCAGAGAGGGGCGTTAAAACCTCTAGCTATGATTGCTGAATTTTTCTTCATAAAACTCACACACATGATTATGGATGGTAAGTCCCTTCTCATCTGTTTACTGTCAACTTAGGTCTGTGTCTTTATATTTAAAGTGTATTGCTTACAGTCAGCACAGAATTGGGTCTCGCTCTTTTAATCCATGCTTGTAATCCCTGACTTTTAGTTGGAGTGGTGAGTCCACTGTTTAACATAACACTGGCATGGGTGGATGGATGTCTGTAACTGCACCATTTCTTTGTCCCACCTGTTGTTCTTCTGTCCCTCCTTTCCTGACATCTTTGGGATTAATTCAGTACTTTTATAAAAACTTTTTAATTCACACATTGGCCTATTTATATTTTCATTTATACTGCTCAGGACTCCCCTGTGCTTCCTGAAGTTCTCTGTGTGTTTTGCCCACTCTGGAGATCCCGTTAGGAGTTGGCTGGAGCTCATTTAATATTCCCTTTCTTTCTGCTCCATTTTTGGTGATTTCATTGTTCTGTCTTTCCCATGATCAGTTTTCTCTTCACCTTCATCTTACCTGCTGTTTAACTGATCCTTTGCAGTCTTTTCTTGTTTTGGGTCTGTACGTCCTAACTGCTTATGCTAATTAGAAGGCCTTGGTGTTGGGGAGTAGGTGGCTGCTGGGACTAGTCACACAAGGATTTTGGAGTCCAGAGCACAGCACCTGGCCGTGAACAAGAG